ATAAATTTTTAAAAAATCTTTACGTGCATAGGGGATCATGCATCAGTTATGTGCAAAAGCTCCGTTTTGCCTACCAGACTCGAGCATTCACAGGTTTGAGTATCCACAGAGGATTCCCCTACAGACACCAGGGGATGATGGGACACGGTGCATACACAGGCACTCACACCTACACCACATACACATTCACTTTACATAGGCCAAATATGTACACAAACATGTATGCAGATGTACGCACAAGGGTACTTTCAAAACTTTGTGGGAAGATGGAGAACAGAGTTTGTCCATGTCAGAGAGCCTAGCTTCCCGTCCCAACTCTGTTCCCGACCCCGGCTTCCTGCGAATGCACACCCAGGGAGAAGCAGCAAAGGCTTAAGTAGTTGGCTGAGTTCCTGCCAGTCACGTGTAGATCTGCAGACTGCGCTTCTGGCTCCTAGCTCTGGCTGGCCAAGTCCTGAATGTTGTGGGCATTTAGCAAATGAACCAGTAAGAACGCCCTCCCCTCCCCCTCCCCCTCCCCCTCCCTCTTCTCCCTCTCCTTCTTCTCCCGCTGTACTTCGCGCTCTCCCTCTCCCTCTTCTCCCTCTCCCTCTCCCTCTCCCTCTCCCTCTCCCTCTCCCTCTCCCTCTCCCTCTCCCTCCCCTCCCCCTCCCCCTCCCCCTCCCCCTCCCCCTCCCCCTCCCCCTCCCCCTCTCCCTCTCCCTCTCCCTCCCCCTCCCCCTCCCCCTCCCCCTCCCCCTCCCCCTCCCCCTCTCCCTCTCCCTCTCCCTCTCCCTCTCCCTCTCCCTCTCTCAAATGAACATTTAAAAAGTCTTTCAGTTTGTGAAAACACAGGGCAGGTATTGTGGCACAGCAGGTTAAGCCAGTGCTTGGGATGCCTGCATCCTACCTATCTCAAAATGTGTGGTTTGAGTCCTGGCAACTCCAGGCTTCCCATCTAGGTTCCTGCTGATGTGCCTGGGAGGCAGAAGATGGCTCAAGTACTTCAGTCCCTGACACCCGTGTGGGAAGCCTAGATGGAGCCCCTGGCTTCAGGCTGGCATAGTCCCGGCTTTTGTGGCCATTGGAGAGTGAACCAGTGGATTGAAGATCGATCTATCTCTGTCACTCTACCTTTCAAAAAACAAATAAATCCTTTTTAAAAATAAAGCTTGTAATAAGTACAAAAACTATGAAATATGCATATTTCTTCAACACACTATGCCAAGTATACTATTTTATAGTTTTGTTGTTTTAGTCTTATTGCACACCAATTCCCAAAATTTAGGTTATTCCTGTTCAAAAGGAAAACAAAATCTTGTGGGTTTTTTTTTTTTTTGAGTGGTGCGTTATTAACTACTGTTAACATTTGCTCTTATAAAAGGGCAATTATTATAGTAAACAATATTGTAACTCAGTAGACTTGTTGAATATGCAAACTTACTGGGCCGGCGCCGCGGCTCACTAGGCTAATCCTCCGCCTTGCGGCGCTGGCACACTGGGTTCTAGTCCCGGTCGGGGCGCCAGATTCTGTCCCGGTTGCCCCTCTTCCAGGCTGTCGCTCCCCCTCTTCGTGGAGGAGCAACACAGGACCCTGCGCTGTTCTTTGGTCTGCTCGGCCCTCCCCGGGTTTGCTGCTGGTTCTTCCCGGGTTGGCTACTATCCCTTCCACCTCCGTGGAAGGGCAGTTCCCCCTGGCCACATTCCCCACTTCCGCAGGGGAGCGGCACACCGCCGGCCGGCTCTTCTCGGGGGCTGCACAGGTGTTCCCCTTAGATGTTCCCTGGTGCATGCCGTCTCTCTCCTCCTTTATAGTCCTCCTCCGCCAATCCCAACTCGGCTGCCCACACGCCGAGTACGCTGCTCTCCAATCAGGAGCAAGTCCTACAGTTTATTGGTTGAACTGGAGGCAGCTGTGCGGAAGCTGTTTACTTCTCTCCCAGCGCCATATTGTGGGAGAGCAGATGCATAGAATAAGTCTTAATTCCAGTAACTGGGTCTAGTCCGGTTTGCTCCCCACACCAGGCCAGCTCTCTGCTGTGGCCAGGGAGTGCAGTGGAGGATGGCCCAAGTGCTTGGGCCCTGCACCCCATGGGAGACCAGGATAAGTACCTGGCTCCTGCCTTCAGATCAGCGCAGTGCGCCGGCCGCAGTGCACTGGCCGCGGAGGCCATTGGAGGGTGAACCAACGGCAAAGGAAGACCTTTCTCTCTGTCTCTCTCTCACTGTCCACTCTGCCTGTCAAAAAAAAATAATAATAATAATACTGCTGTGGAGGACCAAGGGTGGAGGGAGGAAGAACTGATAAATTTATTTACAATTCCCTATGTTGTAAACATTTAATCTATATACTGTTACTAACTTGTAATCAGAGTTTTACATAGACAAGAATATGATGCCCTGTATTTCTGTTTGTATTCAGCAACAGCATATTATAACAGAACATCAGATGTTCTTTTCCATTGGCATTATGTTTTCTTTAGATAATTATAGCTAAATTCTCAAAAGAACTAAATATATTCAAATGCTATCCGACTAAAACTAATTAAGCCAACATATTTGGCTTATAGTATCATTTTAAGGATAATTTAATGTGCTATAAGCAATCTGGCAATCAACACTTTCTATAAGAACAAAACTACCTTTTTTTTTTTTTTTTTTTGACAGGCAGAATGGACAGTGTCGTTGGTTCACCCTCCAATGGCCTCCGCGGCCAGCGCGCTGCAGCCGGTGCACCACGCTGATCCGATGGCAGGAGCCAGGTACTTATCCTGGTCTCCCATGGGGTGCAGGGCCCAAGCACTTGGGCCATCCTCCACTGCACTCCCTGGCCACAGCAGAGAGCGGCGCCGGCCCACAGCAGTATTATTGTCTTTGTGGAGACGACTAATCATTAAAAAAAATCCAGTAATGGATTTCAGCTACAATAAAGTCATAGTGCTATATTTCAAATAAAATTAAATATACAAATATTAAAAAAATAAAGTTTGTAAAAACACTGAATTAAAAGCTAAGTTTAGAAGCTGGTATTTGATGTAACAGTTGAAAAACCATTTAGGATGCCTGAATGCCATATCACAGAGCCTGAGTTCAGGTTCCAGCTCTGCTCCGCGTTCCAGCTTCCTGGTGATGTGTACCTGAGAGGCACCAGGTGACGGCTCAAGTGGCTGGGTCCCTGCCATCCGTGTACAGACGTGGATCGAATTCTGGGCTCCTGGCTTTAGTCTGGTCCCCTCTCTCTCCCTCTCCCCACCCCACCGTGTGTGTGTGTGTGTGTGTGTGTGTGTGTCTTCCACATAAATAATTTTTACTAAAGTTTATTTTTGTGCAAACAAATTTGCAATACATGCTTATAAGGCATCATCAAAAAAGTCTTGGAAATGCATATTATGAAAAAGCTAAGCATGGATTTCAAAAATGTTTTGCACCAAAACAAACTTTTCTTTGAATTCCATTTTCCCACAAGCTTTTTGAAGTACTCAGGCATGCGCGTGCTCACACACCCCACCCACTCAGGGCAGACATGACAAGTTCCTCCAGTAGGGGGCATCACATCCTCAGCACCCTCTAGCTTACAGGAACTAGGAAACGGTAAAGCATTGTTGCACCAGTCACATCCACACTGCTTAAAAGGAATGGGAAAGCTGGAAGACCCCTAGGAATAAGTCAGCAAGATCCCCACTACAGGGGACAAAAAACAAAGAAACAAACAAACAAAACAAGAAACCAGAGACTTAGTCAAAGATCTTCCAAACGCAAGTTAGTGCATAAAAGCTTCAAGTCATCACCAAAAATAAAATGTGAATTTTGAAAATTTCCCCAGAAATAAAAGCCCCTGTGGAGCACAGCTGTAGACACCTGGATGAGGTGGGGGTGCTGAGCAAGCCTGGTTTAAGGCAGCAGATGTGCAATTTAGTATCTTTCCTCACAAGTAAGATGGGCCTTTCTCCTCCTGTTCTTTTGCCATTTTTAATTGATTGAAAAGCAGGGAACAGAGAGAGTCGGACAGTCAGAGATCTTCTATGTGCTGGTTCACTCCTCAAATATCTACAGTAGTCAGAGCTGGGTGCTCGATCCAGAGACTGGGTGCTGGGGACTGGGCAGCAGGTGAGGAGATGGGGGAGGGACACACAAAGGCTCGGAAACACACACAGAGGGACACTGAGAGATGCAGAGGATGGTAGAATGAGAGAGGAAAGAATGAGAGAGAGAGGCAGACAAAAGGAGGGAGGGGAGGGGGAGGGGGAGGGGGAGGGGGAGGGACAGAAATTGAAGGCAGGCCCTGTACTCACTCAAATGCTTCCACATAACAGACAGCATCATGCACAGGCCGGGAGGAGACAAAGCTGGTCACGAATGAGAGGGGCCCGGGCATCAGCGTCCTGTGGTCGGCTGTTCCCTCCCGCCGCAGCACCTGGCCGGATGCTACAGGAAACACAAAGGTGGCGGTTCTTGCCAGGAAGCTCGTGATTGGGAGAGGCAAGGCCACACCTGGGCTGCCTTCCCAAGGGCGGGGTGGGCGGTGGAGGCTCCACAGAGCACAGGTCGCCAGGGTGTCTTGGCACGAGGGTGGCATTGGAACAGCCTTTGGGAGAGTAGAGTGGGGGGGGGGAGGGTAGCAGCAAAGGCCTGTCGGTGAGAAGGCACTGGCACAGTTAGGACGGCCTTGAAGGCCAAGGCAAGGAGACCAGGAGCCCCTGGTCACATCTGAGAAGGAAGGAGAAGCTGCTGTGCTTTGGGCACATCTGGAGAGGTGCTGGGCACATCTGGAACTGGAGGATTGCAGGCTCCCCGACACCCACGGCCTTTGCTGAGGCAGGACCCTCTGCTTGGACAGCCCTCGCCTCCCCCCGTCCCTTACATGGCAAACTCCAGGACGTAGTTTCAGACTCTTCTCAATGCTCTCTTATCCCAGGAAGCCTGCAGCAGGAACAGGTGCACCTCCTGGCTCCTCCCAGCCTGACTTGCCCAGGACTGAGCTGAGTCAGGTGTGTTTCTGACCAAGACCAGACAACCACCTGCCTCCATCAATACCCAGGCCTCCTCACACCCAGAATTTGCCTGTCCCTGCGGGAAGTCCCACCAACTGTCTGGCCTGAGTATCCAAGGCCTGAAAAGAGGGCAGGGGTGGAGTGACGGGGCGGGGCTCATTTGCATAGAGGTGCTTTGGGTTGGCAGGTCACGAGACAGTGAGAGCAGGGGAGTAGCACCCAGGACCTGGCTGAGCAAGGACGCCTTCTTTGGAGACAGCCTGCCTCTGTCTTAAACCCTTGGCGAGATCCCAGGAGCTGCTTGGCGGGCTTGGGAGGTCTGGGAAAGAGGAGAGCGCCTCCTGCAGACCCCAGGCTTGTCCCCAGCGTGGGCTGTCCCTGCCAGGAAGGAGGCCCCAGCCTCACTGCCCCGCCGACGCCCACCCAGCTGAGCCATGGATAAGTTCCGCATGCTCTTCCAGCACTTACAGTCCAGCTCCGAGTCGGTGATGAACGGCATCTGCCTGCTGCTAGCCGCGGTCACGGTCAAGCTGTACTCCTCTTTCGATTTCAACTGCCCCTGCCTGGCGCGCTACAACACCCTCTACGGCCTGGGCCTGCTGCTCACGCCCCCCCTCGCCCTCTTCCTCTGCGGCCTCCTGGCCAACCGGCAGTCCGTGGTGATGGTGGAGGAGTGGCTCCGGCCCGCAGGGCACCGCAGGAAGGACCCAGGCATCATCAGGTGCGGTGTGGCCCCCACGCCACCCAGCGAGCCCTGGGTATTGCTCCCCCTCCTACCCCCATTGGCCGTCATCAGCTGCGAGGCCCATTTGCCTGTGTCCGATCCAGACCAGGTATTTCTGTTCCTGTCACTTGCCATCTTCCCACGCCCAGTGCTGTGAGCACGGAGAGACGCAGGATTCCCAGGAATTGCTCAGGCCACGTCCATGCCTCTGGCCCTGGGTCAGGACTTGCCGCATGCATGAAGGGCTGTCCACAGCATGCGTGGTGCTTCTACACGTGTAGTGAGTGGCACGGTCTGCTGAAGGTGTTGGTGAACCTGACTAATGCAGCTGTGGGTCCCCAGTTCCACCTTCTAGCCACGCTGTCCTCTGCAGAAAATGCGGGAGCCACCATTACCCACTTACAATTCACCACGGGGCTGGGCATGTGGCTGCCTCCCATGCACACACAACCTCAGCCTCGCGGTCTCAGGGCTCACCATGGGTGCAGCTCCACTGGACTCCTGCCCTGTGACCTATGCCCCATCCAAATCCCTGGAGGCACACAGTTGGTCAGGAAAGGCACCCAAGGCCAGTGAGGGGGAGGATGGGCTCCCTGCACATGGGCAGCAGAGACAGTGGTTGAGTTGCTGCCCGGAGCTGAGTTTAGGCTCCCCCCAAAAGCAGGCTCTGATCAGGGGCATGCCACCAGGCTTGATCCTTCTGGGACCCCCACTGAGAGTGCCGAGAACAGCCCTGAGAATCAGCCCACCGAAGGCCTGGACGCGGGGTGTCTGGCTGCCGGGCCTGGCCCTCCTGGGGTGAAGGTCGGTTCCGGTCAACTCTCCTGGACTTGCAGGGAATCCTGCGGAGCTCTCAGGCAGAGCCACGCCAGGGCTTGAGACCCTCAGGTCCTCGGCCTGACAGGACTGTTGGCCAATGCAGGACACACCGCCGGTCCGCTGCAGGCCCCCAGCACCAGGAATCCTGACTCCGCGGGGGCCCCAGTCCTGGGAGCCGCAGGGGCCTGGCCACCCTGGCCCTGCCTGGGCTGGGAGCTGCAGTCACTCATTGAGGAAGCCCCGCCCAAGACTTGCCAGCCCTCCTGGGAAGTCCATCCTTGCAGCTCCCTCATCGTTCCTGCCGGGGCTGAATTCCAGCCCTTGGGAACCTCTCTCTCCTCTCCTCGCAGGTACATGTGCTCCTCGGTGCTGCAGAGGGCACTCGCTGCCCCCCTGGTCTGGATCCTGCTGGCCCTCCTGGACGGCAAGTGCTTCGTGTGCGCCTTCAGCACTTCTGTGGACCCCGACAAGTTTCTGGACTTCACCAACATGACCCCCAGCCAGGTGCAGCTCTTCCTGGCCAAGGTGCCCTGCAAGGAGGACGAACTGGTCAGGGACAGCCCTGCTCGAAAGGCGGTGGCTCGCTACCTGCGGTGCCTGTCACAGGTAAGTGGGGTGTTCCCTCCCCCAGCCCTCACACCGCACCAAGACCCTTCCCCAGCTGGGGAGCACTGTGACGAACGATTTCTCTGTGCAGACACACCAAACAGCAGGAGGTTCATGGGGGAGAGGGGTAGGAGCACAGGCCCTGTGCAGGACAGAGAGGACCTGGACTCCACTCTCTGTAGGACAGAGACCAGACGCCCACCCCCCAGAGGCTGAAGGGCAGGAGAGCACTGGGGATAGCGTCCTGCTCTGGCCCCCAGCCCATACACACGTATCCTTCCCAGCCATCAGAAACACTCATGACTGTTTATAGAGCATTTATGTGTCAGGCATTGCGTTAAGCGTTTTGTATGCACGACTTCACTGAATTCTGAGAACACCCCCGTGAAACAGACGCATTCATCCCATTTTTCAGCCAAGGAAACTGAAGCTCTGAGAGTTTAGTTTACAAGGCCAAGGTCATGGCTTATAAGAGGCAGGGCAGGGATCTGAACACACCCATCATTGCTCCTCTGAGCCACCTCCCTATAATGCAGGTCGTGCCCAGATGCCTGACTCCCCACAAGGTGCCAGCTCCATTACCCTGCAGATAAACCCCAGAGCCAGCCCCAGCCCAGACTCCAGTGCTGGGCTTTGTCACCAAGAAGTACAGCGAGGCTCACTAGGGTTACTGAGCAGAAAGACACAACCACAACCCCTACCCTTTGGGGAGTCAGACTCATGGCAAAGGGAGGGGCCAAGGTCAGGGCACACTTGATTCTGGTTACGATTGTGAGCTGACTGTGGCACTGCCCCGGGGCCTCAGTTTCCCCTGGATGGGGAAATCAAGGGCACTTGGTCTCCTCCCTGATGGTCCCTCCAGGTGTCAACCTCTGGGCTCTCACTAGTTCAGTGGAAAGAGCACAGGATCTGCAGGCAGACCAGGGCTTGCACCTGCCTCAGCTGTAAGTTGTCAGTCACAAAGAGCTTCTCAAAGTGTTTGGCTTTCTGCCCCTGGGGTATAAGTGCCTTACACGTTTGGATGGGAGCACCCTGGGGAGGAAAGTGAGAGCTTTGTCAAGGGTGGAACTCACATCCATACCGGAGGGGGACTTGGGTCTCTGCGGCTCCACATCTGTCCCTTGAAGAGCCTGGAGCGAGGGGTAGAGAGATGGGAAGGCAGAGGGGAAGGGGGTGGGGGAGGTGGAGGGGAGGGAGAGATGAAGGGGAGGGGGAAGCGAGGAGAAGGGATAGGGAAGGGATGGGGAGGGGAGGGGAGGGGAGGGAACGGGAAGGGGAGGGGGAGGGAGAAGAGTGGGCCAGGAGTGGGCTCTGGCCTTAGAGAACGGCTTCCAATTAGTCCTCATTCTTGGCCTGGGTCAGCGCTCCCCTCTCCTATTCCTAGTCTGCTGCCTCCCAACCAAAAGAACAGGGATGCATGCCTAGAGAGGAGACAGATGGGTAGGTGGCAAGATGAACGGATGCTGGATAAACAGAAGGCAGGATGGGAGGCGCACGGGTGCTAAGGGGATGCATGGTTGACAAGAAGGAGAGTTGGGAGGATGGCTGCGTGGGAAAACGATGAGTAGACAGTCCTGGGAGAGGGTGGGCGGACAGAGCAGAGGCAAGCATGTGAGAATGCACTGGGAGGGTGGGAATGGGAAGTGGAGAGACGTGAGGAAGGATGGGAGGGATTAGGGGCGCGAGGGGTGCTGGAGTTGCCCCCGAGCCCCGCCCGGCTCTTGGACGGCGGCCTCCCCTCGCTGCAGGCCATCGGCTGGAGTCTCACCCTGCTGCTCATCATCGCGGCCGTCCTGATCCGCTGCCTGAGACCCTGCTTCGACCAGACGCTCTTCCTGCAGCGCCGATACTGGAGCAACTACGTGGACCTAGAGCAGAAACTCTTCGACGAGACGTGCTGCGAGCACGCGCGGGACTTCGCGCACCGCTGCGTGCTGCATTTCTTCGACAGTATGCAGAGCGAGCTGCGGGCGCGCGGGCTGCGCCGAGCCCCAGCCGCCGCGGCCGGCAGCCCGGAGCCCCCAGAGGCTCTGGACGGCGGCAGCGGGAAAGCCCACCTGCGCGCCGTCTGCAGCAGGGAGCAGGTGGACCGCCTCCTGAGCTCCTGGTACTCCCGCAAGCCGCCGCTTGACCTCGCGGCGCCCCCGGGACTGTGGGGGGCCGGCGTCAGCCACCGCGCCCCAGCGCTGGCCGCCAGCACCAGGCCCTCCCAGCACAGCGATGTGTAGGCTGCCTCCAGGCCCCAACAGCCCGCCGCGTTCCCGCGGGAAACCCCTACGCGGACAAGGGTCAGGGCGGTCCGCAAACCGCCCAGTCTCTGCCCTTTGCAGACTCTACTACGGGGCACGCTGCACCTGGGGTGCTTGTGAAACCAGGTGAGATGGATAATTCAGGTCAAGGGACCAAACTCTGAGCAGCAAAAATCTAAATAGACCTGCCACGGTCAATGCTAAGTGATAATATGACAACCGGGGAGGCTTGTATGGGGCTTAATGTGCCACCCATTGTTCTAACTTCTCCAGGTACATTAAACTCGGTCCTCATGGTAACCTAATGAAGGCGTTGTGGTTATTAGCCCCATTTTGCAGGTGAGAAAACTAAAGCACATGAAGGTTCAGTTGCCCAAGGTCACCCCTGTAAGAGCTGGAATTGGGTCCCAGGAGGCCTGCCTTCTGGCTGATTCTGCCTGTGTGTGTGTTTTCAATGCTTTCGTTGGGTGTCTAGGGTCCTCCTGGAAAATTCTAGCAAACTTACCAGTTCCTCTTGAAAACACTTAGTTGGTAACAGGAGTCACGGTGCACTTACTCCTCATGTAGGATCTCTGTCCTTAATGTGCTGTACATTGAGGCTTAATGCTATGACGAGTACTCAAACAGTATATTTCGCTTTGTGTTTCTATGGGGGTACAAACTGTTGAAATCTTTACTTAATGTATACCAAACTGATCGTCTGTAAAAAAAAAAAAAAAAAGAAAGAAATTATCAATTCCCAACTTGACTCTCACTGGGATTAAACATGACAATAGGTCTGATCTGATTTCATCATCATTTAAAAAAAATCATCTATTATTTTTCACTTTATGTTTCTGTGTGGGAGCAAACTGTTGAAATCCTTACTTAATGTATACTAAGCTGATCTTCTGTATATTAAGATCATCGAAAATGAATCTTGATATGAATGGAAGGGGAGAGGGAGTGGGAAAGGGGAGGGTTGTGGGTGGGAGGGACGGTATGGGGGGGAAGCCATTGTAATCCATAAGTCGTACTTTGGAAATTTATATTCATTAAATAAAAGTTAAAAAAAAAAAAAAGAAAACACTTAGTTGGTGCCTCCTGATGGCCACAGCAGGCAAATAGTCTTGCAGTTTGCTGTGGAGGGGATTTTTCCGTGTTTGAAGGTCAAGGGTGCTGACCCCCCCCTGCTGCACCGTCCCCAAGCCCACCAGTTCTGGTTCTAGCCCGGTCCAGCCTCCTTTCTCAGCCCAGCTGTCTGCTCTCCCACCGGCAGGGGCTGCCTCTCTTCCTTCCCTGTTTACCCCATCCCCGCCACCCACAGCCTGACCCCTGAGTCCCATGCAGCCCCTAAGGCATTCCCAGGGGTGTGTGCCGGCTGCCCTCAGCAGACCCTGGTGAGCCTTTCTCCAGGACCAGGTACGGATGCGGAACAAAACTCTGTGAAGCACCAGTATTAGATCGGCCACTCTGCCTCTGGCTGCCACAGCAGCAAGAGTTTGGGGAAGATTTAGTATCTGCCTTCCCCGATGACTCATTCGTCATCCACATCTGGCATATCTCCCCCCACCTCCCAGCATAGATGGTGCCCACATACAGGCAGCCCTGAGTTCACCCCTGGCTTTTCTACTTCCTCAGGGCCCTGGGGCAGTGCAGGGACCCCTGGGTGTCCCCTTAGAGCCCAGCCCCCTCTATCAGGCCATCTCTGCTCTCCTGGGCTCTTGCCAAGGGACCTTGTGAGACCAGAAAGTTCCTGCGGCCCACCTGGGGCCTACAGGCTGGATGTGGTCAGGCGATGCAAATGTCTAAAATGGTGCCAGGCTAGGGCACCATTTAGGCAAATCCTTAGCAGTGATTGGGTGGAGAGGGAGAAGGGAGAGCCAGCACCCGGCCTGTGGACTGGAGGCTCAGGGACCCTGCTGGGCTCAAAGGAAGCAGAATCTGCACCAGTGAAAAGCCACCCCCTGCCTCCTCGCAGTGAGCACTTCTAGAGCAGCCGCTGTCTAGAAAGCTCTGAGTCAGGGAACAGGGATGATCCGCAGATGACCTGCCCGTGTCCTCCCAGAGGACTGTCCATTAGGACAGAGAAGGGAACAGAAATCATTGTAATCTGTGTGTAGTTCTATGCCAGGGGGATTTAGCAGGGAGAATAAGTCCCCAAGCTGGGAGACCAGGGAAGGCTTCATGGTGGAGGCGCTAGCTGAATGGATCTTGAAGGATGGGGAAGGTTTCAACAAGCAGAAAGAGAAATGAGGGGTGGGTGCAGAGCACCTAAGGGGAGGAAGTAGCAAGAACAAAGGCACAGACTTGAGCAAGGGGCACAGTGTGCTTTGTTTTCTCACTACACAGGAACTTAACCGAATGCCTTGAGCGCCCAGAGCAAGCCAGACCTACCCCTGTATTGTGGAGCTTCCAGTCTGGAAGGGGAGATGGGGTGATGACCCGGAACATCCAGCCCAAGGGAGGGTGCACTGAGCAGGCTGGCAGGAGCTGAAGACTGGCCGGAGGACTGAGGGCCCCACCACGCAGGGCTCTGAGCCCTGCCTGGGTCCTCTGCTCGGAACAGCCTTCGTGTAGCCCCCACCAGCCTCAGGCCCCAGATGATGTGGCTTTGAACCCACAAAGCCTCCTTGCCCATCCACACCACCATCTGACCCGATCCCTGCAAGGGTGACAGGCCTGGAGCAGCAGGTGCAGCCCCACCTGGGAGTAAGGGACACAGGTAGGACGTCCCCACCTAGCTGCTAAACACCCTCCCCTCCCAGTAGAGCAGCCCTCTTGGGGGCCTCAGCCAGTTCCAGGGTATAGCCCCCCAATCCCATCCTGTGGCTGGAGCTGCTTCTGGGAGACACAGGGTGAGACAGATGCTGCTAGCGAGGGCTATGGCTGCAGCCCCATCTCTGCCAGGTCTGCATGAGGAGGGGGAGATGGCAGGAGCCTTGGGGGTTAGCTCAGGACCTTGGCTTCATCCTGTAGTCAGATGGGGAGGAGAAGCCAGGGCTTGGAGCTCCTGGCTCCTGGCTTCAGCTCGGACCAATCCCAGCCACTACGGCCTTCTGGGGAATAAACCTGCAGATGGAAGAACTCACTATCTCTCTCTTTCTCTCTGTCACTCTGCCTTTTCATTTTTTTTTAAGATTTTATTTACTTATTTGAGAAGTAGAGTTACAAAGAGAGAGACAGAGACAGAGAGACAGAGACAGAGAGACAGAGAGAAAGGTCTTCCATCCGTTGGTTCACTCCCCTTATGGCCACAATGGCCAGAGCTGGGCTGATCTGAAGCCAGGAGCCAGGAGCTTCCTCAGGGTCTCCCACGTGGGTGCAGGGGCCCAAGCACTTGGGCCACCTTCTACTGATTTCCTAGGCCATGAGCAGAGAGCTGGACTGGAAGAAGAACAGCCAGGACTCGAACTAGTGCCCATATGGGATGCCGACACCCAGAGGCTTAGCCTACTATGCCACAGCACCAGCCCCCACCCTGCCTTTCAAATAAATCTTTAAAGAGAAAGAGAAAGAAAGATAGGAAGTGCAGAAGAGGAAGGGTGGGGTGCAGAGGCCTGGGTGACATCTGGCTTCCAGGGTCAGCCTCACAGGGAGGAGAGAGAGCAGGGATGATGACCAGGGGTGGGGTTCAAGTTCTGTGCCAGAGTTTAGTCCCTTGGCCCCAACATCCCTGGAACAGAAGCTAGGGAATTGGAAGAGATGTGCACTATTTGGCGAGCACTGTGGTTTTGTCACAAAATACTGTCCCAAATACGGCTCAGCTGGTGCAGGAGAGCGCGGCAGGAAGCTGTGGTTTGAAGGTGGCTGTCCCCTCCCAAGCACGGGCTTTCATGCTTTCACAGATTGCTCAATCCAATCATGCAACTAATTAACTGGTGAATGGGTTACCTTTAAAAAAAAATATATATATATATATATATTTGAAAGAGTTACACAGAGGAGAGGCAGAGAGAGAGAGAGAGAGAGAGAGAGAGAGAGAGGTCTTCCATCCACGTTCACTCCCCAGATGGCCGCAACAGCCAGAGCTGAAGCCAGGATCCAGGAACTTCTTCCAGGTCTCCCACGTGGGTGTGTTAGGTAGGAAGTCAGATATGAGCTTATGTGTGTGTGACAAAGGCCTAAGGAGACATTTGGGTCCAGCATATGCATCTCAGAGTCATCCCGATAGCGTTTCAGGGGCCCAGTGTTTGCATCCTGCCCTGCCCCTTCTGCCTGATGGTCTTCCGGGTGCAGCCCAGTATCTGCACTTCAGACACGCCCAGCCCCTTCTACTCGATAGATAACCATCCTTCCTCTAAGGCTCCTCTATGGCACCACGACGCCAGTCAGGCTCCCCCTTCTCTGATGACTTGTTGGGGGGGGGGGGCTCAGATAGGAGTTTTTCTATTTGCGTCCAGAAGATCCTTTGTTCCAAGAGGAGCAAAAGTGGGGAAGCAAGACCCATCCCCTTGAAAACCCTGGCCTCAGCTTGGCTGCGTGCTCAGTCCTCTGCCTCCATGCCGAGCCGCCCGCCCGGCCTGGCCAGGTATATTCCACTCAACCACGCAACCTCGCTCTTCCCCCAGTCCGAGCAACTGGGCACTCTCTCTCAGGTCCTGTCTGGAGAGGTGCCCATCCGTCCCTACAGACATCCCTTCCCTAATAAACCTTGCTATTTTACTTTCCACTACTTTCTGTCTCACGCCTGAATTCTTTCTTGCGTGAAGACAAGAACCCTGCCATTCACCGGTAACAGGTGCAGGGGTTCAAAGACTTGGGCCATCTTCCACTGCTTTCCCAGGCCATAGCAGAGAGCTGGATTGGAAGTGGAGCAGCCGGGACTCGAACTGGCACCCATATGGGATGCCGGCATTGCAGGTGGTGGCTTTACCCACCACGCCACAGCGCCAGCCCCGTGACTGGATTATCTTGACAGTAAGTCTGCTATAAAAGCCAGATTGGCTTGGCCTCTCACATGTTCCCTGTCTCCAGAGCCCAGTGGTGTCCTGTGAGGCATCAGGACCGCCAGCAGGAAGGCGGTCACCAGATGGTGGCCCTTGACCCTGGCCCAGAACCATGAGCCCACACCTGTCGCTCCCTGTCTTCGTGGAGGAACGACACAGGACCCTGAGCTGTTCTTCTGTCTGCTCGGCCCTTCCTGGGTTTGCTGCTGGTTCTTCCCGGGTTGGCTACCATCCCTTCCACCTCCGTGGAAGGGCGGTTCCCCCTAGCCACATTCCCCACTTCCGCGGGGGAGTGGCACACTGCCGGCCGGCTCTCTTGGGGGCTGCACAGGTGTTCCTTCAGATAGATGTTCCTGGTGCATGTTGTCTCTCTCCTCCTTTATAGTCCTCTTCCACCAATCCCAACTCGGCTACCCACACGCCGAGTACGCTGCTCTCATCCAATCAGGAGCAGGTCCTACAGTTTATTGGTTGAACTGGAGGCAGCTGTGTAGAAGCTGTTTCTCCCTTCTCAGCGCCATATTGTGGGAGAGCAGATGCATAGAATAAGTCTTAAGATTCCAGTAACAGTCTAGTCCATGTTGCTCCCCACACACACCAACCTATTTTCTTGATGACTTATACTCCTTGTGGTGTTGTGTTCTTAGCAACAGAAAACAGACCCAGGCACACTACATCTTTCTTAGGGAAAGGCCTCGCATGTCTGCTAACACAGCATGGCCCACTTGGGTTGCCTTGATGCCTTATCTCACTCTAGGCTCTGGCCTCCACCCGTGCCTTGTTCCCTGGGTCTCCAGCAGCTGCTGGTTAGCCCTCTCCTATGCAAATTGAGCGTTTCCCTAAGGGCACAGTGCTGCTGTCCTGGGGCCGGCCCCCTTTGCATGCTGCTTTTCATAACACCCCTAACTCCTGCGAGCTGGAGGGGAAGTCAGAGTTGAAGTTTGTTTTTATGTGACCCCTGCGGATGAGATGGGTCCCAGGACCACACCCTGAGGCCAGGAGGCGGGGGGCTGTGCCCATTGCACAGTAGTGGCTGACTGTGAGTTTGCTCCGGTTTGACCAGTTATGACGACCTTCTTGGGATCTAGCAGGTACCGGGGGAGGTGGAGAAGACACCAAGTGCTGCTGAATGTACCTGCAAAGACCCCTCCTGTGTAGACAGAATAGCGGGCTCCCCGGGCTCACCCCAGCCCCCAGGACTTGTGGCTATGCCACCTTCCACAGCCACAGAAGGGGCTCTGCAGACGTGACGAAGGCAGGGATTCTGAGACGGGGAGACTGCTGTGAATTGTCGGGGTGGGCCCCCACATCTCCCTGCAAGGCAGAGGCAGGACACTGGAGTCCGGGGAGCCAGGGCGTGGACATAGAGGTGGGAGCCACTGGAGATCAGAGCCCCGGGGGTGTGGGCAGTCTCAGGATCCTAGGGGAGGCAGGATCAGACGCTCCCCCAGAGCTTCCAGAAGGAACACAGCCCCTAGATTGAGATTTCTGACCACGTTGCTTTGGGCAACGAAGTTTGTGGTCATTTGTTACAACAGCCATGAAAAAATGAACACAGATTTTCAAAATGCGCTGCTAAAGCTCAGGTGCACAAATGATGCTTCTCACTACGGCAATGCTACGGCGACGTGGCGAGAGCGCGCTCTGTGCCTGGCACCGCGCTGAGCTTTTCACCATAACAGTTCAAATGATGCTCACTGACGTCACCTGCCCTTGACTTCAGTGAGCACTGCAACCAAAATTCCTGGCCTCTAGCATGATGGATTTAGAAGCCAGTCAAATTGTGTTGCGTCAAGTGTCCTGCAGAGCTGCTACAGGTAAGCAGAGCTCACGTGTGTGGTCAGAGCAGGCACCTGCAGCCAGCGTGGGCGCCACTGCAAGAGCACAGTAGCTGTGACCAGGCAGCCATGTGCCTGGGGCCCTGCGACCACCCTTCCATGTCCTGAGTCACCCCAGGCCATCCCTGCCTCCAGGCTGTGTGCCAGGCCTTTGTTAGCCAGACATGTGGGCACTTCAGTGGACACACACAGATCCTTCATCCTGCTGCAGCCCTGTGTGTCCCCCTGGGGACTGCCCCAAGGCCCCACCTCCTATGAGGCTGCTCCCCAGCTGTCTCCTATTCATGACACACTGCCTAAGAGATCGGAGAAGCTGATTCAGCCACAGCAGCACCCTGGGCTCAGAGGCCACTCCTCCACCTTCAGCTGATAACCTCTTCAAGCCTCAGTCCCCAGTTTCATAAAATGGGGACAGAGGTACCCATCCCATCACACCGTATGAGCTCCCCTCCCCTCCCCTCCCCTCCCCTCTGTCAGAGCTGTCAGGCGCTCTGTGTAAGGTGCCCGTCCCAGTGTGCCACGCGGGGCAGCCCCGGGCCCTGCGGGGACCATCAAGCTCAGACACACGGAGACCTGGCTGCGGTTGCACGACACGCACATGGGCCCTCGTCATCACAGCAAGCTCACACCCAGGCACGTCAGGGGGACACAAATTCCCCCGTCCCTGGAGACCCCCACCTGGGCTCTACCTCAGCTGCAGCCCCACCCCCTGGCTGCAGACAGGAGCCATCTGGTCGGAGCTAGAGCTGACCTGCCCCTCCAGGGGAGCTGGGTATCAAAGGGAGCCCTGGAAACTCCTCCCCTTTGATATATGCATGGGCAGGGGTAAGGGGGGCTGGCCTGGTTCCCACAGACACAGTGCAAATGGAAAACCCCACCCCTTTATTTTTTGATCTGGGAGAGCAGAGGGAGGAGGTGGGGTTTGCCATCGGCAGCCCACCACACACAGACACACCCGCAGACCCAGGCAGGCTGGGCACAAAGGCACCTGCCCGGCAGCTGTGAAATCCGAGTGCTCCCACTCCCACTCCAAGTTGACTCCATGCCACGCCCACACGAACACAGTCTCCCACTGCTACCACGTCACCAGCAGTGGCACCCCGCTGCAGCCACCGCCACCATAGCCATCATTGCATCACCGCCCCCCACCCCCGTTTCTGAGCTGATGGAGGACACCCGGGGCCCAACAGAGCAGGAAGGAAAGGCCTGGTAGGCCCGGCAGAAGGAGGGAGACACGCCTCCGAGGAGCCCCAGGGCCTGCATTCTGCAGTTTCTTCCCAGCCTGGATCCAAGGCTGTCCTCTCCTCCCTGGACCCATCCTGCACCCACCCAGAGCTGGTCCCCATCAGGAGTGGCCCTTGTGGCCAGAGGTGTCGGGATACAGAGAAGCTTACAAAGGAGGGGAGAGGGGGGCGGGGCAGGCGCCTGGCCGCACCCACAGGATCAGCCAGCACCTGCCTCAAAGTTTCCTCGAAGCGACAGTGACCTCAGCCACTGCTCTGAGCTCTGCCAGTTCCAGCCTGGAGGGCCCGAGTCGCGAGGTGGGCTCTCCATGGGCCGGGCGGGCAGCGGAGGCGGTTCCAGGGGCAGCGGTGAGGTGGGCAGCAGCCTCGGGGCCCTGCGTGGGCCACGATGGACAAGTTCCGGATGATCTTCCAGTTCCTGCAGTCCAACCAGGAGTCCTTCATGAACGGCGTCTGCGGCATCATGGCCCTGGCCAGCGCCCAGATGTACTCGGCCTTCGACTTCAACTGCCCCTGCCTGCCCGGCTACAACGCGGCCTACAGCGCGGGCATCCTGCTGGCACCCCCGCTCGTGCTCTTCCTGCTCGGCCTGGTCATGAACAACAACGTGTCCATGCTGGCCGAGGAGTGGAAGCGGCCGCCGGGCCGCCGGGCCAAGGACCCCGCCGTGCTGCGCTACATGTTCTGCTCCATGGCTCAGCGCGCGCTCATTGCGCCCGTCGTCTGGGTGGCCGTCACACTGCTGGATGGCAAGTGCTTTCTCTGCGCCTTCTGCACGGCCGTGCCCGTGACCGTGCTGGGCAATGGCAGCCTGGCGCCCGGCCTGCCCGGCCCCGAGCTTGCCCGCCTGCTGGCCCGGGTGCCCTGCCCTGAGATCTACGACGGCGACTGGCTGCTGGCCCGCGAGGTGGCCGTGCGCTACCTGCGCTGCATCTCCCAGGTGAGCCGGTGCCCTCACAGGCCAGGGCTCCTGGGGGAGGGGATTGGGTGGACCTGTGCCCCCCCACCTCTCGGAAACAGGGCTTCCTGTCCAATGGCGTCCCAGGGAGGGGAGTGCTAAAAGGTGCCCCCCTGGAGCAGGTGCTGTGCTTCCCTGCCTGCTGTCCTGGGGTCCCTGGGGCTGACCCCACCTCCTCCACGCTGAGCTTGAGCTTGGGGGCTGGGAGCATTCGCATCCGTTTCCTCTTCTAGGCCCAGCCGTGGGGAGGCCAGTGAGTGACTGGGCCATTTGGCTACATTTCCCTGGCAAATGGCCCCAGCTGGCATGTCCGTGGTTGGGGAGTGGGAGCTGAGGGACCAGCACGGCTCCATGCAACTTGAAGGCCCCTCCTGGGCCAGGACCTCTCTCCTGCAAAGCCTCTGTCGCCACCCAGCTGCCCCCCGAGACTCACACCCTGAGTGTCCAACACAAACTCTGCTTCCCTCCCAAACCCGAGCCCTCTCTCTTCTGGGTCACCCAGGCCTTGCCGGACCCTGAGACCACCATGTCATAAGCTGAAGGGGTCTGCAGAGGTCACAAGCTGCCTGGCCCAGAGACAGGCTTTGCTTTCGTGCCAGAGACTGAACCCTAAATTTAGCTTTAGAATCCATCAGTATCGTTCTACACAGCAGAGCGTCTCACGTAAAAATCACATTTCCAGCTCCACTTGAAACTTCAGAGGATCCAGTCTCCCCCCAACCCCCAGCCCACGTTTGCTCGTTAAGCAGCCTGGGGGTGGCCCCCAAATGACCACGCACTCAGCAGCCCCCCACTACATGTCTGCTCAGACTCACCTGCCCCACACTGGGCATTAGCGTGTGTGTGTCCCTCCTCCTGAGCTGCCCAGACTCTGTTCTGTGTGGCCAGGGCCTAAAACACAGGAAGACAGGGACCAGCCTGCCCCGGGGCCCCATGGACACTCATTGACAACAGAGCTAGGATCTTCAGCACAGATGTGGGCCACTCATCCGAGTCGTCTCCGGCCCTCATAGGCCAGGCAGAGAGCCCGCCTGGAGGAGGTGCTCATTTGGCATCTGTAAATGACAGGCAGGCAATACCAGAGCTCAGAGGAGAAGGGTCACTGTGTCTACAGCAGGCAAGGAAGGCTTCCTGGAGGAAGAGGCACAGTCAGTGAGGGCTTCCTGGTGGAGTGAGCATGGCTAACAGTTCCTGAGCAATATAAGCCAGGCACTGTGCAAAGTGTATCATCTCAGTTCTCACAACGCCTGCTTGAGACGGGTTATCCGCAGCCCTGTGCTGAAACTGAGGCACAGAGAAGTCAGGTGCTTTGCTCCTGAGTAAGCTGTGAGAACTGGGTCCAAACCCAAGCAGCCTCACTCCAGGGTCTGCCCAGTTAACTCCTTATGCCCTGAGTGGTCAGCCATGGCTGATGTATCACTCATGTCCGCATTCCCATGAAGTGGGTATATGCCTATGCCCATTTTACAGATGGGGAAATGGAGGTCTACAGGTGAACTCACCTGTCCAGTCCACGCTCTCCACTCTAAAGGCCCTAGCATAGAGGCTGCTCTGGGGGTCTGGCCAGGGCTGGAGGCAGGAGGTGGGCACCCACTGTGGCTCCCTGTCCCCGCAGGCCCTGGGCTGGTCCTTCGTGCTGCTGACCACGCTGCTGGCGTTCCTGGTGCGCTCTGTGCGGCCCTGCTTCACCCAGGCCGCCTTCCTCAAGAGCAAGTACTGGTCCCACTACATCGACATCGAGCGCAAGCTCTTCGATGAGACGTGCACGGAGCACGCCAAGGCCTTCGCCAAGGTCTGCATCCAGCAGTTCTTCGAGGCCATGAACCATGACCTGGAGCTGGGCCACACGCACGGGGTGCTGGCCACAGCCCCCAGCACCTCGGCGGCCCCCACGCCCCCCGACGGCCCTGAGGAGGAGAGGGAGAAGCTGCGGGGCATCACCGACCAGGGCACCATGAACAGGCTGCTCGCCAGCTGGCACAAATGCAAACCTCCCCTGCGTCTGGGCCACGAGGAGCCCCTGGTGGGCAACGGCTGGGCTGGCGGCGGGCCCCGGCCCCCACGAAGGGAGGTGGCCACCTACTTTAGCAAAGTGTGAGCCGTGGCCCACAGCCCCATAGACCCCGCACCAGCCGCTGTGCTGGGCCGTCAGCCCCACAGCAGACCCGTGTGTCCAGGCACCCGCCCACCCATCGGAGGAGGAAGCTGGGAGCCAGCAGAGGACCGCATGCTTCCAGCCGTGACACGGCCTGTGGCCCTGGGGCAGGGGGGCCCGGAGCAGTATCAGAAGCCTCAGAACTGCCCTGGGGGCACGGGGAAGGAGGACCCCCACCCACCCAGCTCCCCCAGGCCACTCTAGAGCTGCCAGCTTTGCCCCTTCTTGTCTGGGATGTTTGCTCAGGGCTCAGGCAGTGGGAGGGCACCTGACCCTCTCCTGATTTTGACTGGAGCCCCCGAGGGAGGCTGAGTGGGCCCAGTGGACATAACAGCCAGGAGGCCAGAACTAGGGGAGTGCCTGGGGGGGTATGGATACCACGGGGGCCATGGGACCACTGTCAAGGTGGACTGTGTATTTATTTAGCACTGAGCAGAAAGGCCTTCCATGGAGGGGGTCCCTGGAGCCCACCCTGATACCCATCTCACATCCGTGTCTCGGGGGAAGTCGGACATCTCTGGGGCTTGGGAAGCCAGAGACAGAAACTGACCAAACTCCGTTGTTGGAGGAGGCTATGCCCTGGGGTGGAGATGGTGGGAGGAGCTGCCCAGAGAGAGAACAGCCCAGACCCCAGAGAGCTGGCAAACCGTGTCCCTGGGCCGACTGCTTCATTTTCTGGGCCTCCGTGTTCTCATCTGTGTGATGGGGATAAGGACACTTAGCTCAGGGGCTTGCTGTGTGTAGGAGCACAGGGCACGCACGCAGCAGGTGGCTGATAGGTTTTTTGCTTTCTGAGCCCGGGCTGGGGTGGGGGATTGTCTTCATGGAGGAGCAGGACACAGGGATGCAGAGGGCCCTCTCACCTTCACAGCAACCCCCACCCCCTGTGGAGGAAAGGGCAAGATCAGCAGGGCTGAGGCCCTACGGCAAGTGGCCGACTTCTCTGTGCCTCAGTGTGTCTGTTTGTGAAATGGATATTAAAAGACCTGTTTTTTCAGGATTGTGGTGAGCATATAGGGAGATAATTTTTATTGTTTTTTAAAGATTTATTTATTTGAGGGGAGGGGGAAATGTCCCCAGATGAAGCCAGGAGCCAGGAGCTTCTTCCAGGTCTCCCACGTGGGTGCAGGGACCCAAGGACTTGGGCCATCTTCTACTGCTTTCCCAGGCACATTAGCATGGAGCTGGGTTGGAAGTGGAGCAGCCGGGAACCAAACCAGTGTCCATATGGGATGCCGGCACTGCAGGCCATGCCAGCCCCGGGAGGTAACTTTTGGGGAAGGATCTGGGGCTGTGTGTGGCACCTGTAAGGTCTCAACCAAGCAAGTAAATATACACTGGTCCTGTTGCCCTCACCCCCGTGCTGGACAAGCCCAGCTGGGGGGGGGGGCGTGCAGCAGGGGGCCGCTCAGCAGGCCCACCCTCAGGAGCCACTGCAGAGCTGAGAGGGGTCGGGGTCACCCCGTGCACCCTGGAGGCCGTCCAGCCTGTCCCTGGGATTCCCCTCTCCAGCATTCCTGAAGTACCAGAAGCCCGCCTTCCCGAATTCCCCAGTCACCGGTCAGTTCCAGGCGCCGGCCTCAGGGGACCCCAGGCTCCAGCCATCTGGAGATCTGGAGCAGTCCCCGGAGGCAGCCCAGCCACGGGAGAGAAGGGCCGAAGCCGGCGTCGGGACAGGTGTCCGGCTGCAGCAGCATAGCTCTGAAGGAGACAGGGCAGAGCAGGGGTGCAGCCGAGGGGATCCAGCCGAGGGGTCGGCTTCGTGCTGAGCAGATCAAGCCCCTGGCCCTGCCAGGGCGGGGTAGGGGTGTGAGGGGCGCCGCAATGGGGCCGGCCCAGAACAGATCCCCCCGGGGGGGCCCCGCCTGGCCCCTGAGGAGTCCCCCAAACTGGTGCTGCTGGTGTGGCGTGCAGTGGCTGGGGCAGGGCTGGGGCAGGGCTGGGGCAGGGCTGGGGCCAGCGCGCGGGCGCCTGGGTGGCCAGGAGGCGCCTGACTTCCTCTGGGCGCGCACCGCCCTCGCCGCCCGCCCTCGCCGGCCCGGCCCGGGACGCTGTTTTTTCCACTTGCCGGCGCGCACGCTCCATCTGTTTCCTTTCTTCTGCTCGTGAGTGAGGTTTGTTTGAGACGCCACCAGCTTCCCGCTCTGCTGGAAGCCAAAGCAGCGAAACCAGCCAGGGCCGGGAGAGCGCTTTAAGTGGGGGGCAGCTGCCCGCGGCCGCAGGTCCAAGAAGCCACGCCTGGAGTCCCCGTGTCCTCCGGGCCCGTGCGACGAGGCCCTGCAGCCGGTCCTCAGGTAAGGGAAGCCTCCTGCCCGGGGTGTGCCGGGTGTCCCAGTGATTGGCCGAGGGATGGGGGGGATCCCCCGGCTGGGGCTCCTGCTACAGGGCAGGGCCAGGGGTGCCCTCCCAACACAGCAGCCAGGCTTTGGTGGAGACTGAGGTGGGAGGAAGGCCTCTGGGGGTCCTAGAAGGTGGCCTGATTCGTCCTGTGCCCCTGCCCACCTGGTCCAGACATGTAGGGCCCCCACAGGGAGCTAATCAGGGCGGTAGGAGCCAAGACAGGGAGACAGGCGGGCTTTTCCCCCACTCTTTCCCAGGGAGGGGCTCCCGGGCTGGGAGCTGGGGGAAGACGGAGATGGGGATGATTTCTCCTCCTCTTGGCTCCCACAGCCTCTGCCTGGCCCATGTGGTGGCGTCGGCAGGGGCTGGGGGCAGGGGCTGGGAGAGGAGGTGGGGAAGGAAGTCAGGCAGGTCCCCCCAACCTGTGTATGCATCCCACCCCGCCCTTCGCTTGTCCTTTGGCCCAGTGATTTTTGTTTTTCATCCTGGAGATGAGGAAGACAAGGGGCCCACCCCGGCCTGTCCCGCAGGCTTGTGTGGGTGGAGCCTGGGAAGGGAGTTGGTGCTGAACTTTGCTGGAGCCGGAGGCCACAGCCGCTGGCGGGCAGGCTGCCCACACAGGCCCAGCAGGCTCCTAGGGGCTGGTGGGTGCCTGGTGGGATCGCTGGGCCCTGGACTTCATCCCAGGCCCCGGCTGGGCTCGGAGCTGCAGGGCTGCTAGAGCCTACCGGGTAGGGAAGGGGCTGGCTGAGGAAGAGGCGGCTCGCCAGGGCTCTGTGGATGGACACAGGGCGAGGTTCGTAGGAGACAGAGAGAATGGAGACTCGCTTAGCTCCTGCTCCCCATGGTCCCCTTACCCATCCCCTTAGGCTGTGGTCAGAAGTCCTGCCCAGCACCTCTCTGTATTCAGATGGCCTCGAGCAAGTCCCTTTACTGGCTCCAGGCCTTGCATTCCTGATACTTGAGGTCACGAGCTCATCCCAGCCCTGCAGGACAGGCACCGTGTACTCCTTTTCTCTTCCCTCCAGCATCCTTAGGAAGAGAGCAGGGACCAGAACCATCTACGCTTTTTCACAGCTCAGGGCCCGGAGGCCCAGAGCGAGCCATGAGGGCTGCTGAGAGAGCCGCCTGGCCCGGGCCAGACCCTGAGGTCTCCAGAGCAGAGGGCTCCCATGAGCTGCAGAGGGTCGGCCACTGCCTGGAGGCCCTGCACCCCCAGGACACCCACTGCAGCTCTGGGACCTGTGGCCTGAGGACACACCCTACGGACAGTTCCAGGACCCCTCAGCACATTAGCAGCTCTCTGGAATCCGGAGGAAGGCCCATGAGCATCCTGCAGCCTCGACACCACGGGGCCTTTGCAAACCTCTACCCCGAGACAGAAGAGAGCATGGAGGGGGCAGAGGACCCCGATAGTTTGAGACAGACCAGAGCTCGGCTCTCAGTTCTGCCGCTGGCCTGTGACCTGGCCAGTAGCTGGCCCTTTCCCGTGCACGGTGGGGAGAGGATAGCGTGACGGAGGGATTTGGGAAAGGGCGACAAGGGGCACCTGACAGGTGCAGGAGCCCAGGAGCGGTGGCTCCCGTCACTCCCCAGGCCCCTGGCACCTGCCTTTCTCACCAGCCTGGCCACAGGGCGTCTTCCTCAAACCCCACTTTCGGAGACCACCATTTCTCAGACACCTGCTGTTCCACAGGAGGTGCCGGGCCAGCCACTACAGGGGGTAAAATGGCACACCCACGCGCACCAGCCTGCGCCCTCGCCTAGCCCCACCAGGAAGCACCCTCCGCCTCCTGCTGCCCCTGCTGCCCTGGCTCCCCGCCCGTCACCATGGCTGCGCTGATCGCAGAGAACTTCCGCTTCCTGTCACTCTTCTTCAAGAGCAAAGATGTGATGATTTTCAACGGGCTGGTGGCCCTGGGCACGGTGGGCAGCCAGGAGCTGTTCTCTGTGGTTGCCTTCCACTGCCCCTGCTCACCGACCCGCAACTACCGGTATGGGCTGACGGCCATCGGTGTGCCCGCGCTGGCGCTCTTCCTCATCGGCGTCATCCTCAACAACCACACCTGGAACCTAGTTGCCGAGTGCCAGTACCGGCGGACCAAGAACTGCTCGGCTGCCCCCAACTTCCTCCTCCTGAGCTCCATCCTGGGCCGCGCGGCTGTGGCTCCCGTCACCTGGTCTGTCATCTCCTTGCTGCGTGGCGAGGCCTATGTCTGCGCCCGCAGTGAGTTCGTGGACCCCTCCTCGCTCACAGCAGGGGAGGAGGGCTTCCCGCCAGCCCATGCCACGGAAATCCTGGCCAGGTTCCCTTGCGGAGAGGGCCCTGCCAACCTGTCGGGCTTTCGGGAGGAGGTGACCCGCAGGCTCAAGTATGAGTCCCAGGTAAGAGGCTGTGTGGAGGGGACACTCCTTTCCTTCCCGGGGTGGCCCGTGTTTAGCCAGAGCCGGCCCTCGGGGGCTGGGGTTCCCTGGAAAGCACTAGTTACCTGCATGGGGAACAGGGCTGGTTCACCTTCGGGTCAGCGCTTGGCAGCGCCAGGAACAATTGTAGTCCCAAGTAAGAGATTTGGGTGTTTGAATTTTTATTTATTTTACTTGAAAGGCAGAGACACAGAAAGAGATTTTCCATTCACGGGCTCACTTCCCAAATGCCCACAACAGTGAGGGCTGAGCCAGGAGCCAGGAACTCAATTTGGGTTTCCCACGTGGCTGGCAAGGACTGAGGTACATGAGCCCTTACCTGATGCCTCCACTGGTAGGAGGAGCCAGGACTCGGGCCAGATCCTCCAATATGGGATGCGGGCGTCCCAAGCGTACCCAGTGCCGGGATGCTCCACAAGCTGAGTGAGTCTTGATCCCAGCCACAGAGAAGCCCTAGCCCAGCCAGGCTGAGCATGGACTGCTGCGAGCCAGCAGAAGCACCGGCTGTGCGCCGTGGGCTGACCGTGGAGGATGTACACCTTCCTGGCCCAGACCCAGCACTGAGCCTGCCTAGCAGGAGGCCCTGGGGTGGGAGCTGGGTGTGGAGTCAGGGGGCAGTTGCTGTCCTGATCCTAGTGGGGAGGGTTTAGCTGAATTCAGGAGCGCAGGCTGTGCTGTTGGGGAGAGAGGGAAGGTAAGAGGGCTGGGCAGAAGCAGATGGTGTGAAGTGTGTACTCGGGAGAAGCACAGGAGACGGGAGAGCAAGACTTTCTGAAAGCTCTGTTCTCATGAGTACATGAGAGATGTAGCGAGGGCCAGCGTCGTGGCACAGCAGGCTAAGCCACTGCCTGCAGCACCAGCATCCCGCAAGTCCCGGCTGCTCTGCTTCCAGTCCAGCATTCCTGCTAAATCACCTGGTCAGGCAGCAGAGGGTGGCCCAAGTACTTGGCCCCTACCACTCACATGGGAGACCAGGATGAAGATCCTGGCTCCTGGTTTCCGCCTAGCCCAGACCTGGCTGTTGTGGCCACTGGGGGAGTGAAGCAGTGGATGAAAGATCTCTGTCTCTCCCCCTCTCTGTTGCTCTGCCTATCAAATAAATCTTAAATTAAAAAAAAAAATCAGGCAGAGCAACAGGGCTCCAGACGGCACCAGTGGGGAAGATAAGCAGAGAACAGAACTGGTGCTGCTCAAATGCCCAGAGAGGGACCTAGTGGGAAAGAGTTGACATTGACTGGCCTTGCCTCCAACAGGCTCACATCCAAGCACATGGGTGATCTCACCCACGGCAAGTAGCATTAACGTGAGGAACCAGGCTACGAGGGTTCAGGGGAAGGCAGGATGGTTCCCAAAAGGGTCTTAGGCGGCTCCCTTTAGGTGGTAACTCAGCTGAGCCCAGCAGTTGGGCTGGGTTTTGATGGGAGGAGACGATGGCGGGAGAGGAGCTGCCTTTGAGGTTAAGGAAGTGGTGGCAGAATCTGAGAGCAGAGAAACTGCAGCGGGAGTGAGTAAGGGGCGAGTGGGGAAGCCCAGCCAGAAGCGGCCTGTGTCCTCTCCCTGTCTCTGGGGTCGGGGTGGGGGCAGGCAGCTCCGCGCCCCTCCTGAACACCGCCCATTCCCTGCCAGCTCTTCGGGTGGCTGCTCATTGGCGTGGTGGCCATCCTGGTGTTCCTGGTCAAGTGCCTCAAGCACTGCTGCTCCCCGCTCAGCTACCGCCAGGAGGCCTACTGGGCGCAGTACCGCTCCAACGAGGACCAGCTCTTCCGGCGCACGGCCGAAGTGCACTCGCGGGTGCTCGCCGCCAACAACGTGCGCCAATTCTTTGGTTTCGTGGCGCTCAACAAGGATGACGAGGAGCTGATTGAAAAGTTCCCGGTAAAAAGCTCTCAGCCAAGGCCACAGTGGAATGCCATCACCGGCGTCTACCTGTACCGTGAGAACCAGGGCCTCCCGCTCTACAGCCGCCTGCACAAGTGGGTCCAGGGCCTGGCGGGCAATGGCACGGCCCCTGACAACATAGAGATGGCCCCGCTGGTCTCCTGAGGGCCTGCTCCCCACGCCCCTTGCAAATGGCTCTACTTGGTCTCAACTGAACCCCACTGCTGGCTCACATGGGCATCAGAAGGAAGAACAGGCGGGGGACAAGGGCCACAAGGTGCTCTGGGGTGTGCGGAGATCCCACAGACAATGGGGTCAGCTCTGACTGGAAAGCTGAGACCTGCAGAAATCCTTTTTCCTGTTGCTGCCAGCCCATCTGGTCTATGGCTGTGGTCAAGACTTTCCCAGAGCTGGTGCATAAGACTGGCAGAACTGCAGGCCGGGAGGCCTCAGCCAACAGAGCCAGGTGACAGCAGAATGCACCGGCGGCACCCTGTAGCGTGCTGAGAAGCAGTTTCTAATTCATGGGGACACTGGGCTCACTGACGGACCACTGGGAAGCTGCCCTCCAGTGTGTGCCTCTGGTCTTGTTTTTTATCTTTGAGTTTTTGATAAAGCTTTTCTTGCTATAAAGGACTAACTTTGTATCTCTAAAGTTACAAGAGGTGACTAAAGGGGTCACATCACAGTGGTCAGCCCCAAATCCCGTGCTCTGTGGGAGCAAAGTGCACTGGACTCCCATGGACCACGGGGTGGCAGCAGTGCAGAGAGCAACAGGCGTCCACTCGGGAAGACCCTGGGCTGATGGTCTCTCAGCAGCTGGATTCAGAGGTCTGATCCGATCTAGGGAACAGAAGGAGTCTGGCCTTTCTTAGAGGGAAACTCAGTTTTTGAAATTTTGAGTCTGAAGGTCCTGCACTTAACAGGACTGAAGTAGCCCTTTACCCTAACACTAGTGTCTAAGAACCGCCAGCCCCTGCCTCCCTCCCACCCCAGCCCATCCCCCTCCTTGCCTCTAAAACCTGCTCTCAGTAGCTGACTCCGTCACTTCTCCCTGGAGAAGCTCCCGTGACATGTACGGCCGTGCCAGGACTTTGCCAAAAAAGAACTGGTTTCAACGACTAGCCACTCTGTGAGCCTGCGAGAGTTCTGGAATGTAGCAGATTTGGAGAGGTGAGGTCATCCGGCCAGGGTGGGCCTGGGATGAGACCCAGCAGGCGGCCCAAGATGACGTCTGAGGCTTTCCTCAGCTGCCCGGGCTGCCTGGTTTCCCTTCCAGGCTCGGCCTTTGTCCTCCAGTCCCAGCTCAGCCTCCAAACCCTCGAGGGCAGAACAGAGGCTGAAAGAACACCCCGGGACTCTAGAGCCTGAGGGGAGGGCCGCTCTCTGGGCCTGCGCACCTCTCCGGCTGGACAGAGAGCCAGGGACAAGGTGGGATCTGGACTGCAAGATCCACGGACGGCAGCCCCCACCCCCTCTCGTGCTCCCCAGGGAACTTCCTGAAGAAGGGACATGAAACTTTCCTGGGAGCCCAACCGCCCGTTGCCTGCAACAGCTGAGCAGCCTCAGAAAAGGAAAATGACGACACACTATGGTACTTAAGGGAAAACAAGCACAGAGGAATTAAAAATCTAAAATTCCTTTTTATCCTGACAGGATGACACCCAGGGTGCTGCAAAAAAAGCAGCGGTTAGAACGAGTCTTTAGGTGGCAGAGCTCTGCTCCGGCCTGGTGCCTGCGGTGGGCTGGCCCGGCCCGGGGCCGCCCGGGGCCGCCTGTGCGGAGCGATCCGCTAGTCCTCCAGCACTGAGCTCCTGGCCTCCACGTACTCCAGGGCCTTCGCCTTGACTGCCTGCACGTCCTTCTCCGTGCCGTGTTGCTTCTCGTAGTCCAGGTAGCGCTTGAAGAAGAATTTCATTCTCTTGGGGGCCAGGCTCAGATGAATGACACGCTCGAAGATGTCCCTGTGGGGAGGAACAGGGCAGTGAGCGCCTCGGGGCCCCGCTCCGAGACTCCTGGCCGGGCTCCCCCACCTGCCCTCCAGCTCGGGAGCCGGGGCCCTCCGTGAGTCAGCTCTCCCACTTCTGCGTTTCACTACTAACGTGCACTCCCACATGTCTCAGGAAGAGACCACCATCCTCACTTTACCTAAAGTCACACACTGAATCAGGCCCAGGCCACCGGGATGGGGACAGTCAGTGGGGGACGGGTCAGTGAGAAAAGCTCAGCTTAAAACTCACTGAAGCAGGGTGGGCAGTGGGACACAGCAGGCTAAGTTGTGGCTGGAGTGCGCATTTGAGTCCTGGCTACTCTGTTTATGATCTGGCTCCCTGCTAACGTGCCCGGGAGGCAGCGGATGATGCCTCAAGTGGCTCTGCGGGAGACTCGGAGTTCTGGGCTCCTGGCCTCAGCCTGGCCCAGCCCCAGCTGCTGTGGGCATTTGGGGAGTGAACCAGCAGATGGAAGACCTCTCTCTTCTCTTACCTGTCTCCCTCTGTCTGCTGCTCTGCCTTTCAAATAAGTAAGTCTTTAAAAAAGTCACTGAGGGCTTGGGTGAGTTACTTCTTTCCAAACCTCAGGTCACCCACCTCTAACTCTTCCTGCCCTTGGGCTACTGGAGAACAAAAGTGAGACTATGGCTGTGTGGGTTCTCTACAGCGAGAGCCAGGCATGATGCTCTCTACGAGGGAAACCCTTGTCTCCCAGCCCCCAGGCTAGGCTCCCCACTGTGGCAGAAAAATTAGCTGGAAAGGTGAATGCCACTGGACCTGGGGTCTTAGGTGAGAGCTGTTTCTCTAGATTGAGTTAAGAGGGCTGAGGATACTGGGAACAAACTGCGGGCTAAAACACTTGAGCTTGGCCAACACTCCACCTGCCCCCCGGAATTCAGCCGTGGTCTGCCCCTCTCACCGGACTTCCTTCTGGCTGCCATGCTTGATGGTCATGTCGATGTAGACCGACCAGACGTCTGTGCGCTTCGGGTAGGTGCTCAGCGTGTTCTCGAAAATGGCTTTGGCACGCTCTGCGTCCCCCAGCTGGAACTCCAGCTGGGCAAACTTGACAATCACGTCCATGTCTGTGGAGAGAGGACAGCTCAAAGACGTGAGCAACATGAGCAGTCAGATCCACCCCCAACCACGCAAGAGGTACTGCAGGGGAGGAGTGAGACTTAGTCCCCGCTCTTGGGCCCTGGGCCGAGGTTATGACAAGAGGGACAAAGCCCCAAAAGGCCAGTGGAGGGGCCAGCGCTATGGCACAGTAGGTTAATCCTTTGCCTGCAGCACCGGCATCCCGTATGGGTGCTGATTTTTGTGTCCCGGCTGCTTCACTTCTGATCCAGCTCTCTGCTATGGCCTGGGAAAGCAGTAGAGGATGGCCCAGGTCCTTGGGCCCCTGCACCTGCATGGGAGACGTGGAAGAAGCTCCTGGCTCCTGGCTTTGGATTGGCCCAGCTCTGGCCATTGCGACCATTTGGGGAATGAACCAGCGGACGGAAGACCTTTCTGTCTCTCCCTCTTGCTGTCTGTAACGCTACATCTCAAATAAATAAAATCTTTAAAAACAAATGCTATCTTTATAAAAACAAAAAAAGACCAGTGGAGTGGGTTTAGGACCAAACACACAGATGGGCACTGCCCAGCAGAAGAAGGGGTCCCGGGGAACGACAGAATGAGTGCCGATTCCATCTGTCCTCCATCTGTCTGAGTCTGGCGTGTAAAATGCAGCCTGTCTTGTCATTTTCATGGGCACATCAACAGAGAGCAGGGTGCCCCACACAGGCTTTCCTGAGAAGCAACATGAGCTCCATCCCGCCGTCGGAGGCCCACCACACGGAACGGGAAGAGCACTCACGCTCCTTGGCAGGCAGGCACTCAAGGGCTCGCTGCAGCACGCGGTGGCTGGCCCCCGCCTGGCTCCTCCGCAGGAGAAAGGCACCATATTTGATCCAGACGGCCTTTTCCTGCCGGAAACGCTTCAGCATGCGGTTGTACAGTTCGGCAGCTTCCTGTGGGAAAAGCCGGTCTAAGCTGAGGGGAGCAGGGGACAGCAAGACAGACAGCGTGGGGCTCACTGACGTCAAATCACCATCTAACCCAGTTCTGGAGACAGAGAGGAGAGTGGAGGGAGGCTCACAGCAGCGAGCTCAGTGCGGGGGAGGGTAACCTAACCCGAGTTCCCTACTGATCCCATGGCCAGGAGAGTGGACTAGAGAACAGGAGAGGCAGAAAAGGAGTCCTGGGCCGGGAAGTCACCTCTGTCTGTACCACTCCCTCCCCAACGGCCCAGGGTGCATTGTTTTTCACTTCTAAAGCCATCATTTCCCTCAGCTTCAGGCCAGTCCCAAATGGAGGTGGGAAGATAACTTCTACCTTGAAGTTGAGCAAGTTGGCCCTGGATGTCGGGGAGCCCTGGGAGAGGTAGAGGACCCTCCCCACACCCCGCAGCTGGCCACCTGGCCCAAACCCTTACCTGGAATTTCTCTGACTTGGTGTAGATGTCAGCCAGGTGGAGAAAGACCTTGAGCGGCTCGTTGTACTGCACGGCCCGCTCGAAGACCTTGCCCAGGGACTCCTGAGAGCCATACATGTTCTCCAGGTTCAGCAGAGCCACCCACACATTCAGCTTCTCCTGCTCCTCTCTGCACAGAGAGGTCAGCACATGAGCTCCACGCACTCAGCCCGATGAGCCCCAGCTCCTACCCAGGGGTGACAATGAACTCCTCTCCTCCACCCATGGCCCTCAGATCCCAGCCCCGAGTGCAGGCACTGAGAGGCCTCTGTCCCCTCTGCAGCTCACAAGGCATCAGGACCCCCTGCCCCCTTCTGTCCCACTAAGGGTCTGAGGCTTTCTTGATTTCTGACCCCATCCCTGGGCAGGAAGCAGCATAATCTGCGGCCTGGCTCTCCCTTCACCCCGAGAACAGAGCAGAGGGCCGCCAGCCTGCTTCACAGGCTCTGCTCTGCCTGGGAGGTGGGCGGCCACTGGGGCCTCCAGCCAGACATGCAGAGCGCCGTCTCCTCCATTCTACTGCTCCAAACTGGGCACCTTATTTAAGAGTCAAGACTCTTGTAAATGTTACCTTGAGCTATTTCAGGGAAGGGGACTTTAAAATATAAATGAGCAGATCTATTTCACTTCCCATGAGAGAAGTCTGGCCTCCCTAGAGCGAGAGGAGGCGAGGTCCAGACCTGAAGGAGATGGTCTTAAGGGCCCTCTCAGCCACGGCCCGCGCCTTCTCGATCTCCGTGGCCTGCAGGTGGAAAGCCATGTACTGCAGCCACAGGATGGAGCTGTTGGCGGAGCTCAGCACGAGGCGGTCAAACTCATCTGCGGACTCCGGCTGCCGCCCGGGATCCATCAGCGCCGCCTCGATGCGGGACAGCTCTTTCTCTGCCTTCTGCTTCTCCAACTCTCTTTCCTTCTTGCTCTTCTTTTTCTGCCAGGGAAGGGAGAAACAGGTGAGCAGATCCTCAAATGCTAGCCGAGGCCTGTGGGGGAAGTCCAAGCGCAAGGTAGCCCGTGGGCTCTGTAACTGCTCTTTGGCCTGGGACTGGTTGGCTGCCACTCCCAACCCCGGGAAGAGACAGACTGGTACTGAGGGATCCCGCCAAAAGGACAAAGCCTCGACAAGACAGTACCGTGGCTGGGTGTGGCTTCTCGTCTTCCTCGCTGTCTGAGCTCTCTCCTCGAGGGGGCAAGGCCGGGGTCAGAGAGTCAAGCCCCACATTCCAAACAAAGCCTGAAGACAGCTGTAGCCGGGGCGCTTCTGCAGGTCTGGTCAGCTTCTGTGGATCATAGAGGCATGGAGGAGTGCACCCGGCCCAGGCAGCTCCCTGACCCTCAGTCCAGGCCCACCTGGTGGGGCAAGGACTCCCACCCTGCCTAGAGACCCTCTTTCTCCTCCCAGGACAGGCAAGGCCCAGCCCACTGAGGAAGCTTCATGGTAATGACATACAAGTTTTCTCTGTAAATAAATTTATCTAGGTAATACATATTAAAATAATTTATTTTTTATTTGAAAGGCAGAGTGACAGAGATCTTTCTGCTGGTTCACTCCCCCAAATACCTGCAACAGCCAGGGCTTGCCCAGATCAGAGCTAGGAGCTTGGAACACAACTGGGGCTTCCCATATGGGCGGCAGGGATCCAACTACTTGAGCCACCACCTGCAGCCCCCCCAGGGTGTGCATTATTAGCAGGAGGTTGGACTTGGAAGCAGAGCTGGGACATGAACCTAGGTACTGTAATAAAGGACGTGGGTGCCCCAAGTTCCCCCGATTTTTCACAGCTATGCATGCATTCATGGGAGACAACAGCAGAGCTGGGACAGAGAGGACCAAGGTCCTGAGGGTGGGCACAGGGACGCTGTGTGAGCAGCTAAAGCCTGGCAAGCCTGTGGGGTGGGCCGAAGCCTCCCACGCGATCGTGCTCAGCTTGAGCAGCGCTGCTTCTGTTCCTCTCAGGGGGAGGAGGAAGCTCAGACAGGCTCGGCCTTCTCTTCCTCTGCCCTGTCCCCATTTCACTCAGCTGCACTCAGTAAGCCCCGCACACCGTGAGAACAGGACCCGTCCTCAAGGAGCAGACAGTTCACCGAGGACACTGACAGCATCCCCTTCCATATTTTACGTGAAATGAAAGGGGACGGGCCTAGGACAGCCTGGATCTCAGGAGGAAGCAAGGACGTTCCCCCTCCAGCCCCGTCCCAGGACACTCAACCCTGTCCCACACCTTGGGCAGCACATCCACCTCCTCGATCTCCTCTTCTCCTTCCCGGTAATACACCTCCACACCACTGTCGTCCTCCTCTGGCGGGCCGGCCTTCCTGGGCTTCTTGTCCTCTCTTTCCTGAGATGACAGCAGGAAATGCACACTGTGGCGGCCTGAGCCTGCCCTCCCACCGCTCACACTCCACCCGAGGTCAGGCAGCTGCCTGGCTGGCTCCTCAAACGCCCCCTCCCAGAGCAGTGAGGCACAGCTCTCCTGAGGGACGCACCTGCTCACTGCCTGACTCCCGGCGCGCCCGCTTGCCCTGCCTCTTCCCCGGAGGCAGCTGGGGCTCTCTCTTCTCCTTGCTGGGCAACTGTACTTCCTCCTGCCCCTTCGACTTCTTCTGTTTCATTTTCTGACTGTTCTTCTCCTTCCCTTCTCCTTTTTGGCTTTTCTCTTTGGCCTCTCTCTTCCTCTCCCCTTGCTTCAGCAGGGGCAGCTCCAAGGAGGCAGGGAACACGTCAGGCTTCCCAGTGTCGCAGGGGAGGAACGACAGCTCGACCAGGTCCTGCCGGTGGTTCAGCCTGCAGCAGGGAGAGGGAGAGTGGAAAGCAGAGACATCGTGAAGGTGCAAAGGGAGCTGGTGTTCAGAGCCGAGGTTGAGCTGCCACTTGCGATGCCGGATCCCACATCAGAGCGCTGTTTTGCATCCTGGATGCTCTTCCAATCCAGCTTCCTGATGATGTGCCTGGGAAGGCAGCAGAAGATGGCCCAAGTCCTTGGACCCTTGCCAACCATGCGGGAAACCAAGATGGAGTTCTTGGCTCCTGGCTTTGGCCTGGCCCAGACTGAGCTGCTGTGCCACTTGGGGAGGGAACCGGTATACACCTCTCCCTCTCTCTGTTGCTCTGCCTTTCAAAAAGATAATAAAAATCTTACCAAAAAAAAGAGAAAAAACATAAATTTACACAAAAACCAAAACAATAACAACAAAAACGGTGCCAAGGGCACGACAAGCAGCCCAGGCCTTCTCTCTCCTAATCAAAGCAGAATTCCAGGCCACACCCCCACCCCCCACCCCCGGCCTTGGGAACCCACTGAGCACTCTTAGGAACAAAATATACATTTCATCGTGCTCGGTAGAGAAATACAGGGGGAGCTGTGGTGGCGCCACTCCAACCCCAACGGCAGTGGCCCACCCATGCGGAGACGAGCACTGCCTCTGTTCTCAGGGACAGAGGTCGAAGGCTCCAGGCCTTTTAGTCACCTGGACATGACCTAATCTGTTATGTTTAAAGTTGACCTTGACATCTGAGAAAGGGATTTGCTCTGTATCACACATAGGGGTGGGGTAGTGAGAACCTACCTCAGGACCTTGGCAGTGAGCAGCTTCCCTTCGGGAAGGTATTTGTTGTAAAGGTCTTTCTCAGACGGGCTGTACTGGGAGACATGTGGGTAGTCGGCCAAACCAGTAACTGAGGGACCCAGGCTGGAAGGATAAACACAGAGTCCTGGGGTCATCAGCACAACAGCAGAATCCCAGCCGTGCCTGGTGGTGCCACTTTCACAGGGACCCAAGTTGTGACCGCATTTATGGTTCCTGGCCCTTGGCAGGACAAGGTGGGCTCTGCCAGCTGGAAACGATGAGCAAGCACAAGCAAGACAGGACTGGCAATGTGGTTCACCAAACCTGGCAGCACCACCACGTATAACTCACAAAGTGCTAGAAAGACAGGAGAGAACGAGGAACCAGGAGCAGGGAAGGCTGCCACAGCTGGTGACTGTGAACATGATGCCACGACACTGAGGTTTTACAAATCATGACCACACTAAGTCAGAAAAGCCAAATCTACTTAAAA